GCTTAAAACAATAAGCAAGAAGTGCTAAAAGCCTTAGCAAGAAAGGGGTATCTAAAGCAAGAATGCTTACCCTTGTAGAACTTCTTCAAGAACAAGGCTCCAGCAGGTTCCTCTGACCAAAACCAGCCCAAGAACACTGAAATCAACCTCCTAGCACCTCAACAACCAAGGATGGTGTTCTAGTGTGTGTTTGTGTACAATAGTGAGACAATACTACACTTTTGGACACAAAGTAAGGCTAAACAAAGAAGAATAGATACAATACTATATCTATCCTCTCAAGAACAATTTTCTGAACCCTTGAGGAGGGAGGAGGAGCTCCCTCTTTATAGAGGTTCAATTCTAAAGCTTCTAAGAGAAGCTAAGCAAAGGAGGCAAATCCCTTCATACACGTGTATGGAGGGGGTGAATAATGGGTGCCAGCTGACACAAAATATCTGCATAAAGCAGATGAACAGGGTTCGGCCAGCAAAAATGGCCGATCGACCAACACAATGGCCGGCTGACTAAATACAGTGCCAATCGGCCAATACTTTTGGCCGATGGCAGGGAGACAGGGCCGATGGCCAACAAGCCACCCTCTTCCCTCAGAAGCAAAAACACAAGTGTTTGGTCCACAACCAAGCACAAAATAGACAAGTTGAGAGATCTTGAGGCAAGGCGCGCGACCGAGGCCTCTAGGAACTCAAAATGAACACGAGCATGGATGATCATCGAGTGTTCAAACGATGACGTCCAAGTCTTGAGGACGATTAAAAATGAGGTGTCCACAATACCATATGAAATGAACTCTAGATTGTCCATAGAACAAGATTGTGCAAGAATTAAGTGTGTTTGTGGGTTGCGCTTTGAGAACTTTAAAGATTATGAAAAATGGAACATCGATCTTGAACTTAACATGATCTCTTTCAACTAACAAACCTTTGAATTTTGATAAATCTTGTCCCAATTACTTGGGTCATGAATATTTAAAGGTTCACATTCAACATTGACGTCTTCACTTTTATTTTCCAAATCTTCATTCTCATTCATATGTTCACTAGGTTCTTCAATCACCAAATCATCATCATCATCATCGTCATTCTTATTTAAACATTCAGTAGGTCATTCAATTACCAACCTTCATTATCATTGTCATTTATACATTGATTAGTTTCTTCAATTACCAAATTTTGATAACTAAACTTGAAATCTCTATTTTTAAAATTTTTTTTTTTACCTACCAAAATACTTATCAGCACTTCCGATTGATCGAATTAATTGTTCCATTTTTTTCTTCTGCTTTTTTTTTTTTTTTTCATTCCTAGAACTATACTTCCTTGGAGACATGGCTATACAATCAATAATATACACAAATCACACAATCCACTAATATGTGCAGTTCACAATTTTCATATTTGACAAATCAATGAAAAATATATATTAGACAGAGTACATTTCCAATGCTATGTCAATATAGAATGCCCAAGTCTAATATTAGCATAATACAATATTTTAAATATTAAGATTTGCAACTCTGATCCAATATAAAAATAAAATAAAATAAAAAAATGTTATCTTTTCTATTTGTTACACAAAAATTTAAATACAAATGACATTTATGAACCCATCAAGAAAGAAAGAGATGGAGAGAATACTCCTGCCAAGCTTTCATAGACTCAAATGGCAACAATTGAAAATTTCAATAGCTCAAATGGCAGCTACATTCAAACTAAGTCTAGGTACTGATTTATCTCCCAAACTAAGCTTAGTTTGGCCGAATTTCCCAAACTAAGCTGAAGTGTGTTTACAAAACACACTTTCAGCATGTTTCTAGCCCAAACGGACAAAATAAATAAAATCATAAAAGCATGGTTAGAAAACATAACTTTAATTAAGAAAACGTTGTTGCTATTAGCATTTTCAGGCTTAAAGAATAACGCGATTTGGAAACAGGCTTTTAATAGAAAGCGTGATTTGTAACCACGCTTTTAAGAGAAAGCCATTATAAAATGGCCCACCCTGCCCCATTTGCAACCACGCTTTTAAACACTTCTCTTTCTTTTTCCCCAAAACAAAATAATAAGGTAAATTAAGCAAATAATTAATTTATATTTTTTCATATTCTTTTTTACTTTTATATTTTTAAAGTCATAAGCGGTAATCATTGATTCAATGGTAAAATCTTAGTCTAATAATCTTTGAGATTATGAGTTTAAGTCTCAGGACAATCACTTTGTGCACTATGTCAAAGGTTAGGTGTGTACCTAATCTTTTTTCTCTGAGTAATGCTAGGGACCCCAAATGTTTTACCAAATATTTTACTAAACGTTTCACATGAGTGTGAGACCCACATGGAACCCACATGGTGTGGGTCCCCCACCCATGTAAGACATTTGATAGAACATTTGGTAAAATATTTGGGGTTTAGCATTTTTTTTCCCTCTTTCCTCTCCCAAACACACATTAATGTTAGGTGTATACCTTATCTTTTCTCTCTTTTTTCTATGTTTACACATTAATATGTACTATTAAATTATGGGTGTATTCAATTTTTTCTCTTCTAAAAACACATTAGGATGTACTATTTAAACATTGTTTTTCTTTTTATTTAAATTCATAATATGACACATTATGCGAGTACCAACTGGTATTGTTTGGCTACTCAAAAAGTTGTAGAGAGAATCTCTTCATTTTGGATTTTGGAATTTTTCAATAAGGGGATATAAGTGTGTTTATGGTGGGTTGTAAATGAAAAATTGTAGAGATGCGTGTTATTTATACCCCTCCATGTGTTGATTGTTTTTTATCTAACTCTTACTTGTATATAGTTCTCCTGTTCAATAATAGTGTGACAGTGTAAGAACTGCGTCATTAATCATTTTACTTTTAATTTCATTTATTTGCAAGACATACGGTCACACATCTGATTTAGACAACAAAAATGATTGAGAGCTTTAATTTTGGAGCTCTAGGAGGAGCTTTAATGGTGGGACGCACCATGTGATATGAAGTTTATGCTTGCTTGTTTGTGGTTTTCTTTTTATTTTTTTATACCACATCATTAGAGCTTAAATTAGAACTCTACTTTTAGAGCTCTTAATCACTACCCTTTAGACAATTCATGCTGTTTATTTTTTAAAAATTTTATATATAAATTATTTATGTAAATATCAAATTGATTTGATAATCGTATATATAATTTTATCATTTTTAAAAAAAAATAATGGATGAAAAACATAATTTTAAAATTAGATAATTTATTTTTAAATATTAAAATAATAAAATTTGGTAGCTAAGATTGTTTATCAATATGATATTTTATATGAATAATTTATATATAGAGATCTAAAAGATGACTGGGTGAATTATAGAATGTGGATTGAAGAGAAATCAATCAAAATAATAATAATAATAATAATAATAATAATAATAATAATAATAATAATAATAATAATAATAAATAGTTTTTTACTAATTTCAAATGTTGGACAAACAAATATTTCTTTAAAAGTGTGGCAACAAATCACACTTTCTATTAAAAGCGAATATTTCTTTAAAAGCGTGGTTACAAATCACGCTTTCTATTAAAAGCGTGTTTCCAAATCGCACTATCATTTAAGCCTGAAGACACTAATAGCAACAACAATTTCTTAATTAAAGTCGTGTTTTCTAACCACACTTTTATAATTTTATATATTTTGTCTGTCTGGGCCAAAAACATGCTGAAAGCTTCAGCTTAGTTTGGGAAATTCAGCCAAACTGAGCTTAGTTTGGGAAATAAATTAGTACCTAGGCCTAGTTTGGGAAAAGCTTCCATTAATTGGAGCTCTCTTTCTTTCCATGTTGCTATCTTAACTTCATAAAGGGGCTACGTTAATTTTCTTCCCTCCAAAAATATCTTTCCTTGTATTCTTTTTCAATTTCTCAATAAAATTCTATTTCTTTAGCTAATCAAAATAAATAAATAAATAAATGAATAAATTAAATTGGAGCTCTCTTTCATGCTTTATCACTATATTAACTCCCCTTCATACACGGGTCAAACTAGTGCAATTACTACAAATATTGGGTAGATAGTGAGATTGAACACTGAATCTATTTATTTTTTGTAAGAAAAATTCTAAACATACATAAAATTCATACAAAAACCTTTAACATGAATGATATCACAATGCCATGATTGTAAATAAATCTATCTTCAATTGTGTTTTGTTTTGAAGTGAAAAATCCACAAAATGTTTTGAGGTGCCCACATGTCCGATCGTGTGAAGATGATAAATGTGGAAAATATTTTAAGGTGTCCACTTGCCCGGACGTGTGAGGATGACAAATGTGGACAGATCTTTGTTTGAGGTGCCCAACTATCCATTTGTGTGAGGACGGAAAATGTAGGACTATTTTGGTGATTTCTTGTAGTCAGTATTTTGAAATAGATTGAAACATGCCCAATCGCCTTCCGTACCAAGGCCAGTAAATGTGAGTAATTAAGATGTTATATTGTTGAATGGTATGTGGAATGTGATAAGACACATGGTGAACAATGAATGAATGTAATTAGTATGTTTAATGTTCAGTTATATGATTTTGTAGAATGATATATTGGTAAGAGATGAAGGTATGTTATTAGTAACTTAATATTTAAAGCAAGAATGCAATTAACTGTATATGAAATCGTTTTTGGTGAAACGTGGAGTTAAGAAATTGTTTTTATCAAAATATGAGAAATGACTAGTAAGAGTAAGAAAAGAAATGAATTATCTAGTGATGTTAAAAATGGATCCTCTTCGAAAGGTATATGTAAGTGTATGTATTTTGATTATATATAAAGAGCACCTTACTTATATACTTATAACATTGAGCATCATGATCATTTTTATCTATAAGGGGTTATTATTTAGAATTATTGTAGATCCCTACTGGACCTTTGTGTTCATCCCTATTGTTTAACAATTTTTCAAGTGCAGAGTCGAAGGCATCGACAAACAATCAAGGAGTTATTTTGTGATGATTGCATTTACGTATTTCATCATTTGTATAATGCGAGAGAGCACCTACTATCTATTCATTTATCCTCCTGCTTCCACATTTGTATTATGTAATTGGACTTTAATAAGGAACTTGGTAACATTTTCGGGTAAAAAAATATGGGGGTTTGACAACTTGGTATCAGAGCTAACTGGGTTTAAAAACCTTGGGCTCATGGGACGTGATTTTTACCACAATGGGTTTTGTTTCGCTTGTGAGGACGCTTGCATGTAGGTAGAGTAGGAGTTAGGATATTATGTGTTGCATTTATGTCAGTCAGCATGAGATTAAGTTTCAGGAATAGTGCTTGTAACCAGTTAACTTATTTTGAGGTCTCACTAGAAACACACCTAATCAACGTGGTTTCTGCTGGGAATTCTTTGAGAGTTCTGGGATAAGTGGATGTCCTTGTAGACTTGACCCAATTTTGTGATTAAATGTCTAAACTATTTATGTGCAATATGATTATCTGTTAAGTGTATCTTGTAATTTAGTCGTGTTGAGTGAGAGTCGCTGGGGAAGAATATAGTTGCTTACTAAGTTGGGATTTTGTCATTTATAAGATGTTAGGATGGGGGAGTATAGGGCATATCGGCAATAGAAGTGTCGGTAGAGGCACAATAGTCTTAGTAGCACCTATTCCTGTAGCACTGGTTGTGGGCGAAGAAATTGCATGCAAGATTATAAGGACAGTTGGGGAGACTAAACTGCAATGAGAGGGACGATTCTCGTTCCCTCAAGCTACTAAGGAGTTCTTTCCCTCCAACCCATTGGAGTTCACAGGAGTGCCTGACCCATTGAAGGAGCATGATTGGTTAGAGCAAGTCACTAAGACTTTAGGGATGTTGAGAATTGAGGATGGATTAAGGGTTGCACAAGCTAGTTTCCAACTGAGGCCTTTCTGGTCAAGTATTTTCCTCCTTCCGTTCGGGAAAGATTAAGGAAACAATTTATGGAGTTGCACCAAGGTACTACTTCTTTGGCACAGTTCGAGACGAGATTCACCAATTTGTCTAGGTTTGATCCAGAGCTGGTAGCAATGGAGGAGGGTCGTTGTATTATTATTAGATTCATCTAAAATGCCTATATCTATTAAAGAAGATGAGATAACCTCATAAGAACAAGAAGGATGATACCTTTCTGGTAGAACTCCAAACCTCTCCCACACAGAAAAGAACTCACGGTGTGATGAATTAGCAGCTGCAATATCCCCAACAAGTACCTAATTACCATAATAAAATATCGAAATTGTGCTCTAGGTTCAAGATGTTCAGGAACATATAATGGTCTTTGTTTACTTGCTTGTAGACTAGGCCAAAATGCTTGAAGGCTTGTTAGTTGCCAATAAGTTGCTTGTCCAGTCCTCATATCAGTTTCATGGTACCTACATTATAGTACAACGATTCATATAAATACCAAAATCAAATAGTTGTCAAGTTAATTTACACGCCCACCTTTCGTTTTCTCTAAGCATGTACACTATATTAAGGATGTAAGATATTTTATTGAATTTCTATCTCAAATAGGTGAAAAGTAGTTTTATGATATGCATGCAAGATGTAAATTTTGTAATTTGAAAAAGAAGCTAGTCGTACATTTGAAATGTTAAGAAAGATAAAAGATGTTGAAGACATTACACTCCAAATTCTAATTATATAATCGTAAAAAATAGAAAAGAAGAATATGATTTAGAATTGCAAAAATCTAACTTCTAAAGCAAATAGACCTAACCTTGCTTAATAAGGACACATTTTATTTTATTTTATTTTTTTGTTTTATGTGTGTGTGTGTGTGTGTGTGTGTATTTTTACAATTAAAAACAGGTATAGTTCTTATTTGAAGGGATCCTGTCTTTAGAACACTCCCTTTCTTTTTGTTATTGCTCTAAAAAAATTATTGTGAATCTCTGAAACAGTCCAATTGGTGGCCAGGACTTTCATTTTGACATTTAGTTAGTCAATCCAAATCAAAGGACTCACTAGCTGAACTTGGATCTGAACAAGCACTGTTATTGAGACTACTGGTAATTTTAGAGTTGATCTTACACTAACATTGGGAAAACTAGGAAATTACCCATATAAGATGTTTTAGCAAATTTGGCAACTTCAATGCCCTTCAAAATTGGACAAGATTTTGGAAATTCCATTCAACTCATGATAAATAAAACTCTAAAACTCAGGTATCAGCCAAAAAGAACTGACATGCCTATGCCTCTATGGACTAGAAGCTTTAATGAGGATAAATGAACCACCAAATTCGCATTAGTCTCTTTTCTCAGGATGGAAGATGATCAACGCGCATAAACATCAATTTAGTGTAATAAATAAAAAAAATCAGGACCACGATAGCATACTTTACAGTTCTGATCATTAAAAGCTAATTAGCTGGTTCTGCATTGGGGAAAGAAAATGGCACTGTATTGAACTAGAAGATAATTAGTTGGTACTATACCATTGGCCATGTCTAAAATATTTCTGCACACCAAGATAAGCAGACTGTAACATTCTCCAAAACTCATCTTTTCTGTTACGCCCTCAAAACAATAACATCAAACCCATCAAATAAGACATGCATTGATATGTAAAAGTTTCACATTCTTCCATATATCAGAATTTCATTACATAAGTATTACATGTTAACAACAAAAGCAAATGCCCTATGGGCTTACAGCTTTCCAAGTTAACACTTGGTTACAACAAAAGAGTACTAACTCATACACATTAAGCCCTTGGCCTGAATTTACATGTAATACATCAAAAAGTAAACGACAAAAGTATGTCCGCCTCTAGCCTCCCAAGCTATGTCCTTGGAGGTGGCATGCTACCTGTACCTGAAAATGATATTCCCATATAGGGTGAGCCACAGCCCAGTAGAAATACACTAAACCAACCATGAACAATGACTAAAAGAATAGCAATTGATAGATGGCTAACACTGATACATTCACATAAATCACATATTTATGTCATACAACTTATGAGTCCAAGTTACCTATCATTTTCCCTTTTTTCAACAGATAAGCATGTTAGCTCTATCATCATTTCAACAGATATGTATAACAACAATATCCCACATTCACAGATAAGCATATAAGCTATATCCACATTCTCAACAGATATGTATAACAACAATATCCCACATTCACAGATAAGCATATAGAATATCCACATTCTCAACAGATATGTATAACAACAATATCCCACATTCACAGATAAGCATATAGAATATCCACATTCTCAACAGATATGTATAACAACAATATCCCACATTCACAGATAAGCATATAGAATATCCACATTCTCAACAGATATGTATAACAACAATATCCACAGATAAGCGTAAAAGCTATATCCACATTCTACAACAGATATGTATAACAACAATATCCACAGATAAGCATAAAAGCTATATCCACATTCTACAACAGATATGTATAACAACAATATCCACATTCACAGATAAGCATATAAGCTATATCCACATTCTACAACAGATATGTATAACAACAATATCCACATTCACAGATAAGCATATAAGCTATATCCACATTCTACAACAGATATGTATAACAACAATATCCACATTCACAGATAAGCATATAAGCTATATCCACATTCTACAACAGATATGTATAACAACAATATCCACATTCACAGATAAGCATATAAGCTATATCCACATTCTACAACAGATATGTATAACAACAATATCCACATTCACAGATAAGCATATAAGCTATATCCACATTCTACAACAGATATGTATAACAACAATATCCACATTCACAGATAAGCATATAAGCTATATCCACATTCTACAACAGATATGTATAAACAAAGGAGATGAAGACTCGAAGATCAACGTGTTCCAAATCCCAACTTTTTCAGATTAAATCAAAGCTCTCAACACCCTCTATCTTTTTAACAAAGGCCCTAGGCTAGATTCACACTCTAGGGAGATCAATTCTTAGAGAGAATGCAAGTTTAGAGAGAGAGTGTCTCGGATCTAGGGTTTAGAAGAAAAAGAAAGTGAAAAAGTGATGTTCAAAAACGCTACTGTCCGCTGATATAAAACACGCTCGCTCGAGCGAAGACTTGGTCGCTCGAGCGACCAGGCACAGAAACTCTCGCTCGAGCCAAGGAACTCTCGCTCGAGCCAATAACTCAGAAGTGCGCTCGAGCGAAGGAATGCTCGCTCGAGCCAACAACTCAAACCCTCAGGTCTGCAACCAGAAGCTCGCTCGAGCGACAGACCTCTCGCTCGAGCGAAGAACAAACCAGACCGCTCGAGCCAAGAAAAATTCGCTCGAGCCAAGAAATGCAACTCTCAGGTCCAGAACCAGACGCAAGCGTTCGCTCGAGCGAAGCCACTCTGGCTCGATCCACCAGACACAAACTCAACTCTCGCTCGAGCGACCAACTCCTCGCTCGAGCGAAGGTCCAAAAATCTGGGCAGCAACACTAGGCTCCCAAACACAACTAACCTGTAACAAACCTGCCTAACACATCCTATAACTCAATATACAAAGTAAAGAGGATGCAAACAAGATAATAAACAACTACCAACATCCACGGACACATGTCCGGATCACTGTACAACAAGGGTAAACCCGGGATCGCTATATTTTCCACAAAGAATGCGGGCTTTTAACAGATACTCATAGAATGAATCAACCCCTGAACAAACCACAAAGAACACAACGTCAGAAAGAGTAATGTCTCCAAACCATATATGGATAGGGAAGTTGATTCCTACCAAGGAATGCAATATGCCAATGTATAACTAGCCATTTCATGTTTAATAAAAAATAACTAAGTCTTGAACACCACACTACCTAATGCAACTGAAGGAAGATTAAGTATTTTAGCAACTCCCGTGAACTTTATGCACATAATCCATCACAAGAACGGATCAAAGCTGAGAGAACATACCCACCCCGATCCCAGATAAGTACTCTATCCATTATCAAAAGTAGTTCCTAGAAGATTCAAAGAACTCCGCATGCTCCATAACTTGCAAAGAGCACGCAAGGATGCAGATTCAAATCTAGGTTCACTAGTTAATCGTGATACTGAAATATGAACACTCCTTGCAAAATGTATCAATTATTTTTTACTTTCCCATGAATATATCTAAACTTTTGATAACTTGAAAATTTGTTTATACACTAATCTAATATCATGAATCTAAGCTTAATAATAATACATATTACATCAAGCAATGCAAACATCAAGTAAAATCAGACATATACAAGTAGAATAACCAACATCCAATTGTCTAAACAAAATTTATAAAAACAAAGTCAGTGTTATTTGCTTTCTTTCAATTCTTCAACTTTGCATTGTATATATGAGCTTAGTTTATATTTCAAAATGTGACAAACACTACCAAGTCAATAGGGTTTCAGGACTAAACTCTTCAGAGATCGAAAAACACCTCAAAATTCATGGCTACAATGAGCTCAAAAAGCATGACGGACCATCCATATGGACTCTAATTCTTGGCCAATTCAACAACACCCCTGTTCGAAGCCTACTTGTTGCCGCCATCATCTCCTTGGTCCTAGCAGTCTACGATGGAGGCGAGGGTGATGACAAGTTCATGCCATTCGTGGAACCCAAAGTGATTTTCCTTACCTTGATTGTTAACACGATCATGGGCATTTGGCAAGAGAATAGTGCCGAGAAAGCACCCGGGGAGCTCAAAGAGATCCAATCCGAAAACCCAAATGTCATTCGAGACAATCATCGAACACCTGACTTGCCTGCCAAAGAGCTAGTCCCTGGGGACATAGTTGAGCTTAAAGTTGGCGATAAAGAGAAATTTTGAATGTCATTCTAAATGTCATTCTGCTTAAACCCCAGGTTTCATCACAACATAAATCCCCCCAAAAAAACAACACCCTCCGACAAAAATTAAAAACCCGAACTCCACAAAAAGCTCAAAATTCTGATAAAAAATCAAAGATCGAACAAACAAACACAAAACCGATACATCGAAATCAAATCAACCATGAATTTGTAGACAGAGATGAAAAGGAGGAACCTGAGGGGCAGCCAAGAGGCCAGGATGGTACATGGATTGTTGTTGAAGAAGAGCTGCTTGCTGCATCAAGGCCTGTTGTTGTTGTTGCTTCATCCTCTGATGCTGCATTTTCTCAGTGGTTATTCGAAATCGATTTCACAGAGAGGGATTATTAATCAAACAAAAGATGGAACAGAAAAGAGATACCCAAATCCCTACCCAATCTGACAACCCACCTATTGAGACTAATAGATAGAGAAAAGAGAGAAACCAAAGACAGAGGCATGGAGAGAGAGATACATACCACTACAAGAAGGAAGAGCACCATTGGATTGGAGACTAAGGTTCTATTTGGTTAGGGATTTAGGAATGGATTCAGAAAAGAAAAAAATGTGTAAAATTAAGTGAAATGTAATTATATTTTTCTTATTTTTTTATTTTTCTTTCCAAAATATCTTCTCAAATTACTTAGATTAAACCATTGGAGAGAGAGTGGTGGTGGTAGCTTGAGAAAGCCTTTTTTCTTATAATGATGAGTCGCATAAAAATGGAAGATGGAAGATAGAAGATGCAGATTGAGAGAGAGATTGAGAGAGAAAGTTGAGCATGAAAATGAGATAGAGGGAAAAAGAAAAATCAGTGGCGCCAAGGATTTGATAAAATTTAAGGATTTTGGATGTCAGGAGTTTCAGCGTCTTTTATTTATTTATTTATTTATTTTGTGTGTGTCTATTAGCCACGACACAACAAAGGCCATGGCAAAATTTAAGGATTTTGGATGTCAGGAGTTTCAGCGTCTTTTATTTATTTATTTATTTATTTTGTGTGTGTCTATTAGCCACGACACAACAAAGGCCATGGCAAAAAAAAAAAAAAAATTCTTTTTGCGACAGACAGAAAAAGCCATCTCAAAAAATAGGCCGGCCTTGACGACTAATGATTTGTCACCGCAAAAACCATGCAACATATCCTTCCCTCTTTTTGAGACCGGAATTGTCGTTGCAAAAAATGACCATTGACAACGGAATATTAATTGTCACAAAAGGTTACCTTTTGTGACAAAAAATATACCATCGCAAAAGATTGGTGTCTTATACCCATTTTTTTAGTAGTGCCCCCCACATCTAATGGCATCCAAAATTTGTTCCAACCCCACCCAAACCCTCACTTAAAATTTAAAAAATTAATTGCAGCCACCAAATTAGTAAGGCTTCTTTGGTGTATCTACTACTATACTATATATGAAATTTATTGAGAGTGTCTAACTACGCACTTTATACACCTACATGTTTCAAGTGTTTATGCTAATAATACGAACATAAATTTTTTGTGTAACTATATTTCACGTTTTTATTAGGAAAAATTTCAGTTTAAGTTCTAAAAAAAAATTACAAATAAATAATAAAATTTTCTTCTATTAGTGATTAAAATTATAAATTTTTCTATGAAGTTCTAACAACTTTTGAAATTATATTTGCATGATAATTTTTCATTTTCATTACATTTTATTTCAACATTTAATGAAAAAAAATTGAGAAAGATGTGTGAGTGCCAGTGTTTGTGAGAGAAATGCTTTTGGTCATACAGAGGGGTAAATTACACTCAGTGGCGGGCGCATAAATTTGGTGAAGAGGGGACCAAACTATGTGCATAAACTACAAAATTCAATCATTATTCTATCACATTTCACAAAAATTTTGTATGTATGTTTGTACTAAAATATTTACTTTTACTGTAAAAGTTTTGCGGGTATAAATTTTGAACATTGTCATTAAATTTGTAACCAAAAAGTACCAAAACAAGATTATAAAGTATTTTTACATATTATACAAAATTAAAAATTAAAAAAAAATAGTAATATACAAATACTTTTTTCCACATTGATCATAGTTATATTGACTCATAACTGGCATCAATTACATTCATAATCAAAAATCATTTTGATCAGAATCAAAACCACCACAATGAGTGGTGACAAACATTATTCTGAAACATGATTAAGCATCATAATGAGATATAATTGTTTTTTATTTAAGAATATATTGACGGTTCACAATCAAACACTACAATAATTCATAGCTAACATCAATTTAGACTATAACTCTAGCTAAAATTTCAAACAATTTAAAACTTCAGCCAAAAAAACAAAGAAATTGGGATTTGTGGGAGCCATCTCTTTTGGAAAATATATATTTATTTACAAATAAATATAGCATATCAATTAGCATTGTTTAAATGGATGCAAGGGCTATGGCCCCCCTAGCCACCGCTGCGTCACCATGATTACATCTGTTAGGTTTTTATTCTTGGCAATCCCGTTTGACAAAACTCCTTTAAGTTGTATTTTTTTCGCACTTTTTTTTTTATTTCAGTGAGACTATGAGAGTTTAGATGCGAATCCAACCTGAATTGTGCTTTGTAGAGAAGTTTGTGATGTTAATACTTTCAAGATTGCCACTTCGCTGATTATGACGGGGATCGAGTTGCCCGGTCAGCTCGCGGGGGTCCAGGAGGTAGCACCCCTTGGTGGGTTCGGGGCAGCGCCCCCAAAGCAAAATGCAAAAATGTATTCAAAATTGCCTGTCTGCTCGAGCGGAGAATGCTGGGTTTCAGAAGTTTGTCAGGTCTGTAAAAATACTGGAAGGTGTGATTTCGCGCTCGAGCGGACCTATAGCGACCCCGATTTTTTTTCCCATTTGATTATTGTATCCGGACTTAGGTTCCGTAGATTCTGTTATTGTATATTTGTTGTTGTTGTCCCTTATTTTCTTATTTGGAATTATAGGATGTGTTGGGCAGGTTTGTTTCAGGTTGGTTGGGTTTAGAAACCTAGTGTAGCTGTCCAGAATTTTGGTTCTTCGCTCGAGCGAGTGGTTGGTCGCTCGAGCGAGATGTTGTTTTTGGTTCTTCGCTCGAGCTAGGGTTGGGTCGCTCGAGCGAAAGGTTGCGTCCAGTATGGACCTGTAGCATTGCATTCTTGGCTCGAGCGAGATTTTCTTTGCTCGAGCGAGGTTTTCTTGTGTCTGGTCGCTCGAGCGACCATGTCTTCGCTCGAGCGAGCCTGTCCAGTTTATATACGCAGCAGCGGGTTTTGATCAGTCTTTTTCATCTTCTTTTTGATTCCAAACCCTAGGTCCGACATCTCTCTCTCTCTACTCACCTTCTCTCTTAGATTTGATCCACTTAGGGTGTGTTTCTACCCTAGATCCTTCATTAAAAAGGTAGAGTGAGTCGAGGGCTTCCATTTAATCTGAACATTTGGCAATTTGGAGCACTTTGGTATTTGGGTATTCATCTCTGTCTTCTCCATTTGGGTTGTTTTTCTTCGAGGTAGGGATTTCCTACTCCATTTTATAGGTTTTGTTCTAAGTTTTGGTATATTGATATGTTGGGGTTACTTTGATAATTTTGGGAAAAACCCTAGTTGAATTAATAAATTAATTTGTATATTTAATTCATGGAAATGGGGAATTCATTGATTAAATGGCGTAGTTGGTTAATTTAAATCACTCGTCTATTGAATTGTTGGTATATTTATTTCCAAGTCTAGAAATAACTGTTTTGGGCTATCGGTGGAGGATAGTCGTGCTTGTTGTAGACTCTGCATGTGGATTAGGGATAACTGAAACTAATCATTGATTAAGTCATCAACTTTGACTGCTGAATTAATACAGACATTATGTGTATTGTTTGTGTGTTGTGTATGTTATGTGTTTGCATACATTGTTTTGTGTGGGAGGAGATAGGGGATGTACTCCACGGTTTAGGGGAAGATAGGGGATGGACCTCTAAACCGGATTTTGTTTTGGGAGGAGATAGGGGATGGACTCCATTAGCATCAATTTTATGTGTGCTTATCTATATTGAAGTGTTTTTATTGATACAGCACTAAAATGTGTATCAAACTGGAAGTATGAAGTGTTTTGAATTGAGCCTGAGTCTCATTTGTTGGTTGGTATTGGAAGAATGTGAATTTGATAGATATATATGGTTCACTGTTGTAAGTTTGGCCAGGTCCTGAGCCATATTGATAATGTTGAAAAGTAAAACGTATCTTAGACATTAATATCATGAAACTGTATAGAGATATAACTGATTATCTTGGTTAACCAATTATTGAATGCTATTGCTTTATTCAATGCTTATATTTGGTTTAGTATATCTCTGCTAGGCTGTGGCTCACCCTTTATGGGAACATCATTTTCAGGTTCAGGTGATAAGCTACCTCCAAGGACTTAGCTTGGGAGGTTTTGGCTTCTGGATTTTGAAGAAGACTATCTTTAGTTAATTGTCTTTATTTATTAGTACATGTAAACATTCAAGCCTAGGGCTTTCCTTGTAATGAGTTAGAACTCATATTTTGTGTCCAAGTGTTGGCTTGGAAAGATGTAAGCCTGTAGGGCATTTTATTCGATGTTACATGTAATGCGTTTATTTAGTAATACTCTGATGAATGAATTAATAAAATGTTTTCATTAAATAACGTATGTCAATGATATATATTGTTGGTTTATTTGGAGGGCGTTACAACTTGGTATCAGAGCGTACCGGGTTTGAATACTTTGGGTACGTGGGAAGTGATTAGTATCACATTGGGTTCGTCTCGCGTGATAGAGACTTAGATGTAGTATCATATGCTAAGGAGGGTTTTCAGCGCTCGAGCCGGGAGATTACAACCCATTCAGTTATTTTCCTGTGCAGGCGTTGTATGCTCGAGTGCGTGGGATTGGCCGCTCGAAGCGGTGGTTGTGTGAGTACCCGCTCGAGCAGGGAGTTGGAAGCTCAAGCGGAGGCGCCTGGTCTGTATAAATTGCTTGGTAAGAGTGCAATCCGGAGCTCGAAGGCGGAAGTTTGGACGCTCGAGCGGTGAGTCTGTTGAGTGAGCTCGAACGACGAGGGTGTTTTACGCTCGAGCTGGGGAGACTGGTTTAAGTCCGAAATGTGACCTTTTGCAAAATCACTTTTTACTTTACTTTCTCTCTCCTCTTACTTTTCCAAATCACCATTGTGTTGAGACCTCTCCACTCTAGAACTCTACCTTCTCTCTAGTTTTTGATCTAGTAGGAGTGTGTTGCTCACCTTTGCCTTTACAAAAAGTGTGATCCGTCGAGGGCTTTCATTTTAATCTGAAATCTGGCTTTTGGAGCACGTTGGGTTTTTTTCGTCTTCTCCCTTGGAACTCCGAAACTTCAAGGTAGGGATATCCTACTCCTCTCTATAGGGTTTTGTCTTTCTAAATTTTGTATTTTGAGATGTTGGGGCTTGGTGTGGTAATTTTTGTGAAGTTGGGG